TGCTTGCTCACTATGTTGAAAGCTCGTGTTAAATAAATACCATTTGTCGTTCCAGTATAGTCATAGAACAAATTTGATGCTTGGCGACACAACGAAGTCTTAACTGTTTCCAGTGACAACACCTTATAAGTGGGTTCAGGCTTATCAAATCATGTATGCTATGAGCAATACTATAAACTAGAGATTCACCTGGATTTCAGTTGAGTCACCCTTTGAAAGTAACTTAAAATGGGGAGTTGTGCACTGAGTAAATCTGATAATCAAGTATAACATTTGATTAGCGCAAACTGTGGGAATGCGACTACCACTGGAACGCGAAAAATGAAGAAACCGATCGTTATTTGTCGAGGAGATATCACTAACCAAACGAGTAGTGCATTCTGTCGAGTAAATTACTATTTCCAATTTCACGTTTAGTCCTAGGCACGCATGAATATGCCGGGCGATGGTTGCTCATGATAGTGAGCCTTCTCAACTAATGAGCGAATTAGTTACATTAGGTTTGCTATCTGTTCGCTATTCCTCGCCGTCAGAGTGAAAAAGCCCCGCCACATCTCCCTTGTAGGCGTTACTCTATGTTGAAAGCTCGTGTTAAGTAAATGCCATTTGTCGTTCCAGTATAGTCATAGAACAAATTTGATGCTTGGCGACACAACGAAGTCTTAACTGTTTCCAGTGACAACACCTTATAAGTGGGTTCAGGCTTATCAAATCATGTATGCTATGAGCAATACTATAAACTAGAGATTCACCTGGATTTCAGTTGAGTCACCCTTTGAAAGTAACTTAAAATGGGGAGTTGTGCACTGAGTAAATCTGATAATCAAGTATAACATTTGATTAGCGCAAACTGTGGGAATGCGACTACCACTGGAACGCGAAAAATGAAGAAACCGATCGTTATTTGTCGAGGAGATATCACTAACCAAACGAGTAGTGCATTCTGTCGAGTAAATTACTATTTCCAATTTCACGTTTAGTCCTAGGCACGCATGAATATGCCGGGCGATGGTTGCTCATGATAGTGAGCCTTCTCAACTAATGAGCGAATTAGTTACATTAGGTTTGCTATCTGTTCGCTATTCCTCGCCGTCAGAGTGAAAAAGCCCCGCCACATCTCCCTTGTAGGCGTTACTCAGCTTCCATTATCCTGGAAATAAATCCAACCGGAAGTATGGTTGGAAATTCCGCCAAATAAAAACCCAAAAAGTATGGAAAAGTGATGGCTCGATGAAAAAGTACTGATTTCCCGGAAAGCTTTAAGGGTGGAAAACCCCCCCCCCCCCCCCCCCCCTCTCCCCCTCTCCTTTTCTCCCCCCCGATTATTTTTTTCTCCTATTGCTCTGCCAACGTCATTCTAGGTCATCCTATTGCACATAACTTGAATCCAGATTCTACAAAACGCGAAATTATGGAAAATGATCACTCGATATTCCGAAAAACCTTAAAGTTGGAAAAGCCCCTGATTATTTCCTTCTTCTATCACATTTCCAAATCAGCACTCGTGGTGTTTTCGCGCCAGCTTACACGCCCGATAAATTATCGTTGACTCATAATGAATAAAATATCTCACGTGTGTTCTAGGTTGGGCAGCTTCGAGGTGAACTGTGCTAAGCCGATTGGTGCTCGGAATAAGGCTTGTTAGTGGCTGATTTCGGAGTTCGCTAGTAGTCTTCGAATCTATTCCCATCATTGTTCACATAGAAGCAATCATTAATTCAATGTATTTACTTCTTCCTATTGTGATGCATCGCACGTTCTGTTTATGAAAGACAACATTTCGTATCGGTTAATTGATTTGCACAGAAATCGACAGCCCCTTTTGTTAGGAATCTGAGTGATTTTCAATATCATGCAGAAGGACTTATTAGTAAACTGTGCGTCCTGAGAGCACAAGATGTGAGCATCCACCGATGAAAAAATGCAGGGCTTCACGCGTTTTGTCTTTACAAGGGACATGCATTCGGGATGTGACGGGCCAAATGTCTCACGAAGTCAACTTTTATTAAGTTGTAGTCCATCCATTATCCGGTGAAAGTTGGTCCTCACTCGTAGACGTTCCGTTACACTTCATATCTTACACTAATGATGTACTCCGTTGTTGTCACCACTGATGGTTACCAACATGAACAATGAAAGAGCCTATGTGATTTTCTGAGTACCCTTTTAACATCCAAGTTCAAAGTGAACAGGGAGAGTGTTAGTAGCCCGTGGCCCAAAGTTTAAGTGTTCAAACACTGACTAGAAAGGCGCTGCATAGAAACTCCTAGGTTTTCATGGGATGCCTGCATCTGAGGATTCCCACTAAAGACGAAACAATCATGCAGTATTTCTTGGCTTTTTATCATATCATGGCTTCACTTGCATGACAAAACCTCGAATAAAAATTATCGGATCTCCTTACGTTACCAACAGTCGATAGGTGGTCAGGAGAAAAATGAATTGACGATGAGGAAAACCTTTAATTTGAGAATTGCCATTGAAATTGAGCTAAGCCCAGTCAGTTCATAAGAGTAGAGGAAAACCGATTGGTAATAAAGTGCTCAAGGGACGGACAAGAAAGAAATCGTCAGGGATGAGCATATCTTGTTGACGGAATTCAGATGCAAGTATGTCGAACGCCATCTATCTCCGACAAGAAAATCTCTCTTCTTTGAATCTGCGGTGAGCTTTAGTGTCTAATTCTATAGTCAAACAAAATCATTCGCAGAGGTTCCAATAGACGGTTGATAGTTTGGTGGCAACCTTAAAGAAACTGTGCCAAAATTGTTGCCTATCATCAAGCTTACGCCAGATGCGTGTGAATTTCTCTATATCGCATACGCGCCACCATCTGGAGTACCGTGGATGCACAGTACTTTCCTTTAGAGCAGCAAATCACGACAGTGCAAAAGTTTGCCACACGCCTTGTTGATGGGTTAATTAATGGGAGGCATGAAGACTAGCTGGAGTTCCTGAATATATTCCAGGGTATTTTCGCCGAGGTACACATAACCTGATCACTAAGGAAGGAATAATACGAGGAAACTTGGAATCCGAACTACCAGCGTCTGTGACACTCTGTAACGACGACCGGCGGGATGAACGCCGTTTCGCCCTTCGGAAACAGAGTGCTTGTATGCTCGCCATCACTGTCGGGTTATCAAACGGGGTCTTTAATGTCAGAAACACGCTGCCTGTTATTGTAATAAAGGGCTGTTAGCAACAGTTTCAAATAAAGACCAGGTGAATATTTGAGATGTAGCATCGATCTCAGCGGTAACTACTGATCGACATAATCGAATGATGAAACGAAGACCGAACGGATTCTCAAACAGCCCTTTACTAATTCGGTACTGAGAAAGCCGAGATTATGAGACCAACATTTGAAGATGTCTATCATGAATTCCACTGGATTCCAAAGGCCATCAACGGTCCAACAGCAACAACTGAGTTTACCACCAACTTTAAAGAATTAAGTCACTGATCATCATAGACGTAATACACTACTCAAAAGTTTGTTGAAAATTCTTCAACAACACACGATCAATTTCGCTCTATTTGAGGCTCATCAGAAAGGCGCAGTCTCCGAGTTTCTGCCAAACTTATGCTCTACTTGTATTCAAATTACATGAAATTAGTGAACTACACTCACTTGCATATCAACCTGAGTTTGACGATGGACTAATCTGTTTAAAAAAACATCACAAACGAAAGATTCAGCTGGGGTTTTGGTGAGTCTCCCATCATGCCAAATTGGCATGCAAATGAGTGTACGTTACCCACTGATTACTACTTGTTTAGTCCTAAGTATAAATAAGATCAACAACTCGCTTGTCATCATGTGTCTATTACCATAAAGAACTGCAGCAGAACTTGTCATCCAAACCGCTTTCAAATCGCATCCAACCTCATGTAGATTGTCGCTGGCCTGTTCGCTGAGCTCGTCCTTGAGTGTTCCGGCTGAGATGTTGGTATTTTGCACGTAGGGGTACGAAAATTAAATCCAGTTCGGTGCGCCGGTTGATCGAATCTGCCGTGAAGTATCATCTGCCGTATCTCTTGTCTCCGTAAGCCAAAATTTTTCCATTTCCAAGATTGAATTTTTGGCCTTCTTGGTCCTCGTGTATGGATATGAAGGACAGGGGATCATGTCTTCTGGCAGCTGCGTTGTGTTCCTTTATTCGTGTGCATAGTCTTCTCCCAGTTTGTCCGACGTAGAATTTGTTGCATTTGTCGCAGTTGATTTGGTATATCACATCGTTCTTCTTGGTTTTGTCTCGGCTGTCCTTCGGTCTAGAGATTAATTTCCTTAGGGTGGCATTTGGTTTCTGGGTCACGAGCCACCAACCTGGTTGCGAGTTCTGCAATATTCTTGATGTAGGGTAGGACTCTCCGTCTGGTGGCTTGTTCTTGCTGTTGCTGTTGCTGTTGGTGGCGTGTCTTCTGCAACTCATCTTGTCACCACCCGTCGCCGCCAGTTCGTGTCTCAAAGCGTATTAGGGAGTATGTAGTTTGGTGTAAAATCTACTCACCCCTCTTGTCGTGTGCCTTGGGAGTGAAACAATTCATTGGAGTCGTGTGCAATTCGTTTGACACATATGACCCGACTGTTTGAAAGTTAAGCATTTGATGGCGTGTACACCACCGTTGACATTGAAAAATCATTAGTTGCGAATAGTTGGAATTCCCAGCTGTAAGAACTTGTCGGTAATCTTATGATCACAGAAATAAGGCGAAAGTGTACAGCTTCTCAGAAAAGTGGTAGAGGTTGTATCACAGTTATTGCAGTGCCGCATGGAAACTGATCAGATGAAAGTAGAATTAGTCAATCTTTTATGTGTCCGGAATGAGTAGGATATCTACACCAATTGAGTGCTCGTCCTCAGGGGCTGGAATGCGAGCGAAATGGGTGCGCACTCCTGGAATCTTCGCCTTTACAGAACTAATCCGAGTGACAAAACTCAGGCTTTCGACATGAATCTCCACTAATTTTATACCTAGTGGATTTTCTTATAAAGACGCTCAAATAGAAGATTTCCAAGAAGAAATAGGAGCCGGGGAATCTGCACTCATCTGATATTTGGCTAAAGTACTGGCAGTTTGGCCCAAACCAGTACACAACACTTGGTAGAACTCGAAGAAGCAATCGGACGCCGAGTAGACAATGCCAAGATCAAACGCAGAACAGCCATGGAGGCAAAATTGTGCAAGCTCACGAGGAACAACAAACACAACAATTGTGACGCTTAGATCAAAACTTATCTGGCCGCCAGCTCCGCACAGCTGAACAAGAACTGCAAATGAAAGGGCTCGATTCGACGTCGAGGACGCATCTTACAAAGAACACCTAGCCAGTTTGAAACATGCCCTGAAAACAAACGAAATGTCCGAGGAGGTTCAACAACAGATTCGACAGACAATGGTACCGGCGATCACACGAAAATGGAAACATTCAACTGATCCTCAAACAAGAACGAGACGCACTCACAAATCTACGAAATGATGAAACAATCGTAATACTACCAGCGGACAAAGGACGCATCACGGTGATAATGGACAAGCCGGATTACATTGAAAAGGCCAAACAACTGCTAAATGACACCACGACCTACAAACCAATCGATCATGACCCAACTTCAAACATCGTCAATCGAATCAACACGGCGCTTAAGAAACTGCAAGCCACACACGAGATGAGCAGACAGGAACGATGGAATGAAAACCGTGATACAGACATTGTATAATTCTACGGACTACCAAAGGTGCACAAATAAGGAACTCCAATTAGACCAATCGATTCACTTCCGGGAACCCCATCTTACTTGTGGAGAAGATTAAGATACTTCATCTCCGGATCGGAACACAGTGAATAATGCAGGTCAAGAGGACTAAGAAGGCCACAAATTCAATCTGGAATACGCAAACATTTTGACTCACGAGAACGCGAGACACGGAAGATGATTTCTGGAAGCATGGTACTCCACGGCAGATTCGATCAACCGGTACATCGAACTGGATTTAATTGACGCACCCCTACGTGCAAAAGACCAACATCTCAACCGGAACACTCAAGGGGGACCGAATATCGGATTCACAAACAAACAAGAAACTCCCCGGAGGCAAATCAATAAAGGTCACAAGACGGGGCTCCAAAGGACAAAGGTAACTCCAGCATCGACCAGATTACGACGGCAGGGGATGCCAATTTCAAAGGTCACGTGGGCATCGGCGAATGGGGACACAGGACAACGGAGCAACCAATGGAATCGCCCGACCGAACAATTAATCGCGAACAAAGATCACCTCCTGCTAGCAGCACGTATATTAACACACGCGTAACACTGCTCAACGCACAACCACCAACCCACCGCTGTGCACCACTACGCTCCCCAATAACGCACTGATGATTTGACCTCGATTGGTGATGAAACGTTTGCAATCAAATTGCCCAGCTCAGTGAACAAGTCAACGACAAGCTACGCTACCTGAGTTACCGACATTTTCCTCTGTAGAAAACCTGATGTAGGATTAAAACTTTGTTGGCCCACTTGGATCCCAACAAAACCCACTAACGCTTCCTGCCAATCGACGTAATAACCTGTTTTTTTGTCGTTTCATGCACAGCGAGCTCAGCTTTGGAAGGAGATGAATTGTTCATTGAGACAGGTACTATGTATGCGCTGGATTACATTCCGGTTACGTAGGCAATACTGTGCGTGAACGAGTGCGTCATGTCCTCATGTTATTTTACCCAGCGGTTTTGTGCTTCGGTCGAAGAATTCGTTGGCAAAAAATAAAAGGTCACAAGGAGGCAAATCCGAAACACTCCTGTGATAAATCCAGAAAGTATTCGAATGCGCAGGATACGCACATCAGACTAATAATAGGTCGTTGGCCCACCTAGAATGTTCATCAAATTAATGTGCCACATACCTTAATTTGTAACTGATTTGGTATTTCTAAGTCTACTTCTGGACAAAGCGCACTCACAGTGTTGCAAGCCATGCTCAAAAGTATGACGTGATTGTCAAGACATTCATTAATTACTGGGGGAAGTGCTAAACGGAATTTGGAATTTTAGACCATTTGGGTGGTAGATAAATATCTGCCTTCTGGAAAGACGTCTCCTGCAGGACTCCAGCTTCCAAAGTTTGCTCCTTGATCACTCCAAGCAGGAATTCCCTCCCACCTACTATCGTTTATTTTTGAAAGGCATGGTCACAAACATAAAAAGTAAATGCAAGCAATGGATGTGGATGTGTTACAGGAGACTATTATTTAATACGCTAGAAGTGGGGAAACATAACACCAAAAGTTCAAGCCAGACAAAATGAACCCCAAGATTTGCCATGGAAATACAGTGCAAAGACCAGCAACCGAGGAAAGTCAGTGGTCAGAATGAATACTCAACACCATGTATAAAGAGTGCTTAAAATGGCAAGCAAACCCAAGTCACCTACCATGATCTTACTAAGTCCCAGTTCAATAACAACCTTGGCTGACTGAGGTAAGCGGATCCCTCGAAGAGAAATGACCATCGTTTGGTGGACCAAAAAGTCCACATCAAAATCGATTGCAGGTAAAGATTAGATTATAGAAAAGGAACATTCATCAGCATCATGGTTCTGCTTCTCACCTGTTCACACAATCACTCCGCGCCCATCCGAGACTTTGCTTACGTCTATCACAGCTGCTTGGCCCTCCCGAACAGTGAATAGGCCAGGCTTGATGGGTGCTTGTGGGTGCACTTTACTCTCTGGATAATCAAACCATCATCATTGTGAGCTGTAATAACCGCGTACTCGTCGTACAGTGTTTGTAGTTGCCTACAGCGCTTTTAAGCTCTCGAACACCGTTAAGTGGGTGAACGAATGTGTAACCTGTAAAATGATATCACCTGGTGTTCTGCGTTGTCTGGCAACCCCAGTATGTGTACAATGGGATTTGAACTGATGAGTCTGGGACTGATTTGGTAGATATAATCAAACGGAAGTGGATTAACATTGGTTGACCTGTAGTCCTTCATAGTACACCAAAGCTTTTCTGGAGATGTTGAATCGAAGGGGTTTTGATACCGGTTTTGAGAGATTCTTGTAAACACTATGAGAAGGTGTTGTCCATTCATGGATCATGCCCTTCTACATGCGTCTAGTCTGCTTTGTGTCCCCAGTTGTCACCGTACCTGTCGCTCAGTAAACTGAGAGTGATGAAAAGAATAGTTAGTAGAAAAGTTGGTGATAAACAACTATGCCTTTGTTGTAAAACTTCCCCAAATTTTGGTAAACAGCGCAAGCGTGTTCATATTTATTTAGGCCCTCACGGAGACCACCGAGCCTGGAACTAACGGTGTTATTGTTCACTTGAGAACCACTACTCCACTCTTCACTTGTGATCTGCGCTTGTAAACAGTATCCCGGAAATCTGGTTGCGGCAATTCGACAAAAATAACCCCCAGAATACTATAACTCTTTGTCTTCCAGATGAGCGGAACACCTTGGTACCATTAAAGGACTTACTGAAAAATACAGTAAAAGATCTATCTGTGCACCTAAAGTTTTGGAGAAGTTTTGAATAGGGATTACTAGCGAATGAAGCCCTATGGTATAGTAGAAGTATAGTAATAGTATAGTAGAAGTGGCAGTACTCAAACGTTAAACTGCATTCTTCAAAGACCTAGAAACTGGAAGGATTAGTTGTATAGTGCATGGTGTTTCCCTTTACACCCAAACAAAATATCAACAGGAAACTCGCATGGCTGACAACCGCGGTCGGGGAATGTTTAGCTTGTGCGTTCCTAACTGCAAAATACTGATAGCTATGGAAAAATCGGAAAGGACTGCTGTGTGAAGCTGTCCGGTCACATGACTAAATAAAACTGGTCCCAAGAATCAAAGTAGAACACACCGAGATTAATTACGAAACCTAATGTGACATCCCCCACAACACAATCGGTAAATATTGACGAGGATTGAAGTAGAGAATTAAAGTCCTCTAGTGAATTGATAGAAATGTTCATTGGAGACATATTCGGACTTCGAGGGTCCAGTTAGCAATTTCCTTAAAACAACGAAAAAACAAAGCTTATTAGCTCTCGGAAGACAAGACATGGTGTAGTCGATTGGCACTCGTCAACATATGGTCAAAATCCTTCAACAAAATCGGAATGACTAATTTCGGATGGAGGTGTAAGGAAAATTTTCTCTGTTCTCACAGAAAAGTTACAGTTTAACCGAATTTCCTGTGAACAAAATCATACATACTGTGGATCACTTGTGAATTTTAATCTCATTCAAATTGCTGAATATCTACACTGATTTTGAGGAAAATGTTGAGGTTACAAACAATATTTCGAGCACTCATTTGGTTTGACAACACAGAAGTCATTTGAATTGGAGAAGATGGCTTTCTGGACAGCTTTGTAAACACCTCGCATACTTACCGATACAGCACATTATCTCACTACATATAATGTCGGTTCTGAGTCAGTCGGGTGGTCGGCATTCGAAAGATGCGGAACTACGGAAAGCAGTTTGACGTGCATGAGGCAGCTGATGGCAGATGTTACTACCACCACTGATGGGTTCAATCACAGATGCGGTTAGAAAAGTCTTGTCCAGAGGCTATTCCTACCGGTGGTTCAGCGTTTATTTCAGTCGATTATCATTTGCCAGCTAGCGGGGTAACGGCACTATTATGCTTGAAAAGCCTTTGCTTTAGAACCAAATGTATCAGACCTATTTTAAATTTGGAGTTATAAATTAAAAATGCATCTATTCCTTCACATAGCTTCGCGAGCTAGATTGACGTGGGTCTAAAACGATCCGCAATTTCAGAACCAAGGCCATCGGTATACCCCATGGTTTGCATGGTCCAACATCAAAACAGTAACATGGAAATCGAAATCAGGGTGAATTACCGCATCCAACGAAAAGTGTTTTCAATGGATACTGGTGAATATGCACACGCAGCCTTAATGTTCATCGGGATTGGCTGGGGACTGTCTGCTGCAATGATAGGTTCCTTCACGCATATTAGTTGACTGACAGGTGCAACCACCAGGACGCGCTTCAGTACCGATGTCCTACCGAGAAGCGTGATTATCCGGCCCCATTCGAAATTGTTGACAACACGTGAATGCACATCATGTTCACTGAACTGAATTCTCAAACATGGTCGACGGTATCTTCGGTTGACGCGTTTTGCCCAAAGTTTTTGGACTCGTCGTGCTGCAAAACTTCACTGGGGCTGACTGCAAGTAGATAGCTTCGGGACTTCCAGACCCACTTCTATTTATTGCAGTACGCCTCCATTCTAACGATCAAATATCTCAGTAGTTTGCCTCTAGTGAAATCGAGCGGCTGTGCGTGGTCATTCCAGGTGTCAGCCAAATTCACCTCACGATAGGACAAGCTGTTTCGTATGATTGAATTTGACTCACCTGTGTACTAAATTATTACCCGACATAATTTGTACCGAAAAAACTCAGGTAGCGGTCATTTTGAACCAAGTTTGTTGATCAGTTTACAGTACGTGGTTGATTTCCGGGAAACCGACGGCCAAGCATTCTTCATTGCTGACTGGGTTTTCCCCTGTTTGTTCAAGTAGTGGTGAGTAAAATCTACGACTTGAAATTTCTTTCTTTCTTTCTTGGTAACATCCGAGTCTGTGCGCTACCACAATTGCAACGACTGAGGATGTTATGCTGTTGTTGGCTTGCATTGGTTGACAGTAAGTACTGTCAGCAGTACTTTCATACAAAACTTAAGTGTCCTCCACGGAACGAATTTCGTGACGGAGCCCGTGGTCAACCTTGGTTGCATATACCTCTTAACGTCAATCGTTTCGCACACACCGACTTTCTAGGAGCCAGACCGTTTCGGGTGCCTCACAAAAAAAGAAGTAATCATTTAGAATGTTTTATTTCCAACTCCTTTAGTGCAGTCCGTTTAACGATTCCGGTAGTATTCTAGTCCTTGTACTTCCTTCGGGTGGCATGGCAGCTAAACACCAAGAGGATACTATAGCTGTACGATACAATAACGATCTGTGTATCAATACCTCACCTAAACTGCGCGAGAGATAGGCCAGTTCTCCAAAGCTGTGACAGTGATGCTGAACAACTTCAGTGGTGGCAATAGGTGATCAGATTTGTCACCTGGGTTGGCTCACTCTCTCACTTTCCTATATACACCCGGTTAGTTAGCGTTTCCTTTTTAACCTAAGTCTTAAAGCTGAAATTCATTTCCGAAATCCGAATAAGCACTCCTATTAAAACACTAAGGATTAATGTTGCTGTTGGCTTGTGCATATGATGGTATATCCTCAAGAACGGAATTTTATAATAAGCGGTTTCTAGTGAGATGTAGGGCTTTGTTATATTCTGTTCCTTGAGAAGTGTGCTTGACGGGAACCGTCAAAACAAGTCTTTTTCAAGATCCTATAAACAATAAACGAGTTATTACAAGTTCACTGTGTATGCTAGGAAGCAAAGTATTGCATGCAGCATTATCGGTTGTAACTGTTCTTCTGGCTACCAGTGGCCAAGATATCACGATATAGCGACCGAACTCTACAATAAAGTGGGTTCATTTGGCAAGAGAACACTGGCTTTTGCTCTGTCCTTGGTGCGAATAGTCATCTTGGATGCTTCCTGTCTTGTAGACGAGGAAGTGCGACGTCTCCAAACAAAAGCTGTTTGGCGCTAAAATGTCGCTCATAAGCGGCTTCTAATGGTGCTTGAGGTGTATATCTGCATCACATTGAGACTTCTAACTTTCCAGAGTTAACCAGTCCAATTTTACAAACAATTCACACTAAAATAGGTTTTTGCAAATGTACCCGTTCAGCGGCACGCCTGCGACTACAATTCGGCTGCTGATACAACCCTCGTGCATGATTACATCAAAACTAGCGCAAAGATGAAACTCCCAGGACTCAGTCTATAGATTTATTTGTGGATTATCGATGGATTCCACAGCAATCCTGGGCTATAACCCCATAATTCTGTAGTGCTGTTCACCTTGATGTAATAGCGAAAATAAAAAACAATTCATTACCTATTCTGTTCCTATAAAAAGCCGTTAACTGATGCCTACTGGGAACTCAATACGAAGACCTAAGCATGGAATTTCAGAATAGCTCCGCAGAAATCACGTGTTTCTGAGTGGATGTGGTAAGCAGACGTTAAATACAACCTATCAAATCTCATTGCCTGCTTGCAATATATACTATGCAGCGGCAATGATATCAGTCTAAGTGAGGCCTTATCGCCATACACCTATAACTCGTCATGTTCAAAGTAGACCTCCCACTTGACCGTGAAGGCCCACAAGTTCAAAACAGGGGATTTTCGGCTGAAGGACCACTGCTCGTTATTGGTGCTGGAGTCGGCAGGACGGGCACAACGAGTTTAAAGCATGCATTCGAAATCATCTATGGGCAACCGTGCTATCATGGGTATGAGCTCATTGAGCGACATCCTGAACACTGCCCCAAATGGTTGGAAATCGACCGCCTGCTCGATAACTCACTCGGAGATGACGACGTATTCGATCCATCATTGTTTCAACAAATTTACAAGGGGTTTCGGTCGGGAACGGATATTCCAACTTCATGTTATTATAAGCAACTAATGAAAGTCTACCCAGATGTCAAGGTAAGATTCAGCGCAGTTGAATCATCAGTCCATTTCCAAGTCGCTGTACTATTTTTGCTATCCCACAGGCTATAAAAATCTCCATGCCAAATTCGCGTCATATAATGTATTGGGATAATAGCACAATGTGTCACTCTATGAACCTAGGCTGTAAGCCTTGGTTTGCACAAACCGCAGTTCCCAGTGGGTCTACAATTTACGTATAGTGATTTGCCTCACGCAAGCATTTCTATGATGGAATTCTTTAGCTCAGGTAAGACAGAGAAGCCGTACTTTCAAATTACGAACTCCGTAGAGTGGGCATACCGTATGCTACCGCTGACCGTTCCAGAGCGGGTCACTGTACCCTTCTTCCACAAGCATGGTACCATTTCGAACTGCAATATCCAAGCTGCATCCAGTTATGAATTATATGGCTCATTTACGGCTGGACTGATTTTCTGTACATCAGAAAAACCGCACACATCGATCACCACATTATTCGGGAATGTGATTTAGAAAAGCGATGTAAACGCTGCCAAAAAAATCTTGTGATGATAGAATGCGTTTGTTTGTTTTTTTAGTCTTCCAACCTGAGGGCAAACAACAAGCGGCTAAATCCCTATCGGGATCATACGATGATTTCTATCTGTGAGTGGCAACAAATTTAGACACCACAAAAGCCAAATCAGTCATTTTAAGGGAGAAGAAAAGTAAACAGGATGTTTTGGAAAAAACCTCTTACATGATTTCATTCGATTGCGAGACATACTCACGTATACAAAAGCGCCAATTCGGTTGAGTCTAGCTTATACTAGAGGAAAGTCGGAACCACACTAGCCTCGAACTTCAAATATTATATATATATATATATATTAGTGCAACAAACCGAAGATGTGCGGTTTCACTAAGTTCTAATAAGAATATTCTCCGTGTAACGGGAAAAGTAAGATCAAAATTGAACCATCGGATGGCAAAAACGAAGCTGAAGATCGAATTTGTTTGGAATTCATGGAGCTCATCAGCCGAGTAGTTGGTTTGTCTGGATGAGTCTACAACCACCGAAGTAATAGCGCAAGCCGCTGAACAGTGGTCTAGAATTGAGCGGAACTATGATCATCAGTTTGTGACCGATAACCAGGTCTACCGTGACCTAACCAATGTACTGATATCTGACGTATCCCAATAAGTAAGCACATTTCCAATGACAACACCTTCGAAAGTACTGAAGCTTCCCTAGCGAATCCAGGCAATGATGCCCACAATAGTACTGTAGAAGTCCGAATTCTGACGGAGGTTCTCAGAAATTTCCCAACAGAATTACAGTTTATGCCAATTTTTCAGGAAATCACCTAGCCAAAACTACAGACATTGATCCCTTAGATATTCGGTCTAGCAGGCTTCTCTGCACTGGTATGTGAAACCAGGGACACTTGCTGGATGATTGAATCGATTAGTTCACTCATCATCATTACAAAATTGTTGTCGTGTAAATGTCAAGTTCAGTGAACACAAGATGTTGTAGGTTCTGGAACTGGATTCGTGATGAACACTTACAGGGAAACCGACTTCCTCTACTTCGATAGACGACCGTTTTCTGAATTGGCCGTCTTCTTTACAAACAGGTTGTCCTGACCACGCGTGATTCCCAGAAGTGGCTGACAAGCGCAAGAGAGACTATCTTCCCAAGAATACCGGATGTTCCAACCAGCTGGATTGGAATGCTGGTCTGTGAAGTGTTGGTTGGAATGGGCTTTTTGCGAGTAAAGTCCCGTTGTTCGGAGCGCATGTTTGGTCCACAGTCTGATCGGGACGATGATAGAAAGCTTTTGGAAGCATACGAGCGATGGAATGCGCAAGTGAAGCAGGCGGTGCCCGCAAACCAACTGCTAGTTTTCGATATTCGGGACGGATGGGAGCCATTGTGCAAATTTTTGAATGTACCTATTCCGAATGAACCATTCCCATGCACGAATGACCGAACCATTGTGGCGATGATAAAGCGGAAGATTGACCGACTGACGATGGTTCTGCGATGCACTGCTGTCGGAACGGCTGTCCTAATATGTTGCTACTTCACGTATAGGAGATTACGTGCTCTGCGGTAGATTAAATGTGGCAAACGCACTTCCTCCGATAAATCCACCTTGGTTGGTTTTGTAGTTTTAACACATGTACTTGAAAACATGTATTTAAGTCTTTCTATGTCTTTGTCTTTCCCGTATCTTTATAACTAAAACCAGTGTTTTCCAATTATCTCAGTTACGTATACCGCTGTAAGCGTTTCTGAAGAGCCTGGTAATGTGCGACAAAAATCGTTCTTGTTCTTCCCAAAGTGCATTTCCCAGTTTACCTATCCACTATATTCATCAGTCTCAAGCTGAAACCTAAAAATTAGAGCGGGATACTAACGATTCCTCCACAATCCACTTGATTTTTTCCTTGAATTACATATGAATTCCAACTGCATCAAGTTGGGAAGGTAAGACGATGTGTGCTGAACTCTAATAAAGTGCTCTTCAAGATAGATGTGTTTTCATCTCATCGAGATCCACGTTTGTTGAAATGTACACCGAACAAAGTGATGGGCAATGTTTTCTTAGTTAGTAGTCTACACAGAGTGGAAGGAACATCATGACGTAAAGCTGATTGCGGTGGTTTGTTTATGGTATGCTTGCGTTTAATAGCTTATAGTGATAAACGCTGGAAACTTCTTCCGGTCGTATCTTGCAAGTAGGCAGACTCTCATTGATAATGACGTTCCAAATCTGACACCAACTAGGGTGGATTGTCAAATATAATGTACTGTCAGGTGAGTTGTGACGCGTGAGAGTGGTCTGCGTGATTCAGGTTGGAATGTGTGCTTCATCATGTAAGCTGACAACATAGAATTTTGATGACAAACTATTGTAGGAAATGTTTCGAAAGATTTCAAAAACCTTGATCACCTACTGATGGCCTCGAATAGGTGAATGTGCTAACCTTTGTGGGAATATGAACACAAAACGAACGGGCCTTTCTCGACATATCCCTGGAACGCCTATCCGCTTGAAAAATCTACTTCATCGCCTGCTGCAAAAGAACTTGGAATGACCAATACACAGTATTGTTTCTGGTTTGTTCCCAAAACACAACCTCGTTCTTAAATTCCATGGGTCAGACTCAGGGAATATCCATTGATGGTGATTTGGTTGGATCAAGATGGAGGGAGCTGTTTGAAAAGGTCTGTCAGAGGAGTACCCGGCAGATTCTGTTCCGATTGGGACCTACCATTCTGATGCATCTATTGGATGAGAAGTGATCCCGAATTAGTTGTTGGTGGATTACTTCGCCCAGCTCTATAAACACTCAGGCTGTTTATGACCACCTATTGTTAACGGATGTATTCCTCTTTTGCGTGTACACAACCCCACCGTTCTGCCTGTCTGATTAGAAGTGATTCCGCTGGCTTTCTCAAGCCAAGGCTCCTAAGCTGTAAGAGGATCTAGAAAAACCGCTCAATTCACCTTAGAAATCTCAACCACCCTGCCTTACCCTAGTCGAGATTTCTTTCTGAAATTAAAGTCAGTTGGTGCAGAAATAGTGAAGAGTACTGCACAAAGGGTTTAATCCTCAGTAGGACTCAACAGCAACTCGCGTTTCACAAATGTCCAGAGATGTTCAAAACAGCATCACAACGGTTATCAGGTGAAAATTCAACTGTTTGGTTATGGTCGGCTGATCAGAAACTTAAAATGAATACAAGGCCACTGTTCTTGCAAACTCGAAATACACATCACATGATCAGGTGTTGACTAGCTCCTTAAATTAGGAATTCTCTAATAGAAGCTTCACGCGTCATCTGAATCATTCCACCCCCAGATCTAGTTACATAGTTTGTTGATGTTGTCCCTTAGTTACGTGCTTCAGATAATTTCCAACGAGAATGAAGCAAGTGTGCAGTGCACCTTAGTTTTTTGGCTTAGATTGACGTCACTTACTTGGAGAAATATCAACTAACAACTCCACATACTGTATTTTATCAACAGGTTTGTAGTCGTCAGCGGTTGTGATTTCATTAAATTGCCTCTAATGTCAATCAACAAGGCGGTGCACAGTACCCCTACAGGATAGACCGCTATGGGGTGTAGGGCTTCTCATGAAGTATGCCCCATTCTCCGAAAATTTTCACAATAAACCGTGTGCGAAAATGTATGTTGTCAAATACCATGCAGCACAGTGATATCCACCGGACGAGCGCCTCGTTCGCAGGGCGCGAGTTATGGGATTTCAGACATCAGTGCATGAAATAGGTTATGGTTTTATTTGCTCTTCCCTTCTTAAAAAATTGACCAGTAGAAGGCGCAGTGGGCAGGAAGTCATGGGGACAGTAAGCCAAACAAATCAAGAACCACACTTTTAGCAGCACATATTACACCAAAATATTTGCATGTTCGTATCTTCCAGACGTTTTATGGTTCTACACTGTTTGTGTTTTAAACATATTACACCAAAATATTTGCATGTTCGTATCTTCCAGACGTTTTACGGTTCTACACTGTTTGTGTTTTAAGGCTGTACGCAGATGTGCATGCCCAGAAGTAGAATCGAACACTCAGTTGTCTTGTAAATTAATATTTTTTGCTGAAAAAGCTTAATTGGCCAAGTGGTTGGATGCCTCCGCCAATTTAGAGAAACACTGGACATTGTAGCTGAATGAACACAGTACTAATTGCGCGTCCATGGTTGAAATTTGTCTTCCAGCTACAGAATAGGATACGTTCTATCACACACATCGTGTGCAGGATCAGATGAGCGTGAATTTCGACCATCTAAGTACACATAACCACTGGACAGTTTAGTCAATGCCTATTTGCTCACCCGTGACAATTCCGATCTCGCAAGTCGTTCTACACCCCCATCTAATGCTATCATCGTGTACCTTGCTTTTTTGCTAACTAAAGAATATTTTTACTGACATTCCTGGACGGCTTCGTTCGATTATTATTCTCCCCGTGTTTTGCAGTTGACGGATTGTTTTTTTTTGCATAAGCCAATACTTATCGTATATTTTTGAAGAGCGTTGCTGATGGATATGGAAGGATTACAGGAGAATAATAAATAAAACGAGAGAAGCGTCCCATTCGAAGTCGTGCCACCAACAGTCTCATTCAGACAGGACGAATCCTAACGTGTGCAAGAACGTTTAGCATAGAAGACCAGCAACCGAATAAAGTTCAAAACGCAAAAGCTATCCAAAGCACGGCATGCAATAGCAAGGTCAACGCCCCTTGATCCAGCACAAAGTATCCGTCATACTTGGTTAAGTGTGGAAATCAGCGGTCAGAATGAACACTCAGTGCTTTTTTACGCATAAACTACACGGTAATTACAAAGAGAACCCAAAAGAGCAAGCAAACGCAAGTCACTGACTGGGATCTTAGGAAGTCCCAGTCCAATAACAACATTCGCAGATTGAGGAAAGCAGTTCCCCGAATGAAAAATGATCATCTGCTGATGGACAAAAAAGGGGAAGAGTGGATCTTCCTGCCTCAAACGTCTGTGGCAGTGAACCTCGAAACCCTGAAAAACTGCTACAGCATTCTGGTAGGATTGCGTTTTATCGAAATAGAGGTGACGATGCTCCATATGCCTCGCAGATCTGACGATTTTGTCATGAAAACCGAATCAAACGCTTTTGAGATATCAACAAACGTCAAGCAGAGGTAAAAAGCAGTCGCCGAAGAGTGACGAAGGGCATGTAGCAGCGGTGCAACTTCCAAACAGTTGTCTCGATGTAGAAATCCAAACAGAGGTGAGGGGAGTTGCAATCTGCCATTCCAACGATCAGCAAGCACCTTGTGACAACATTGGACAAGAATGGATGACACGGAGACTGGTCTCAGTTGGTACGATGAAGTCGGATTTTGAAAATTTCAGCCGGAATTAAACACTTTCTCTCCTCGACATTTCTAAGTCTTTCTTCGTCACAAGAATTTAGCATGGTTCAGAAAGTAGGAAAAATTCAGAATAACCGACGTGTCCAAAATCGGATAGATTACAGTTTTCATTCCTTCGTTCAGCTACTTAAATGTCACAAGTAGTTGGACTGATTTGTGCCACACGTTGACATCAGATGCGATACTTTCGAACGTGTGCAGTATGACGCAGGAAGCCCACTTTTCATGATATTCTTAAGTAGCCTTACGCCACACTTTCACAAACTTGAAAACTTGCAGGCTGAATGTCCATGGCGCAGCATGAAGACTGAAATGATGAAACATTCTTGCCTGTTTCTAGTACTTATCGGTTTTACAGCAAATTCATAATCGTTGTTGACAAAGAATAACGTTTGTAGAGGAAGAGGAATGCCTCGTGGAAAACTTACTAGGAATGTTGCATTAATAAAACACAAATTACACAGAAACACCACCACAGATGTCGATATTCTGCGGATCACCCACGGGAAATCAGCAAGACTAAAGAGTTCAAAGGAAGTCAACAAAATGAGCGTTGGTTTAGACACTCTTGGGTCTATCTAGGCACTAGTGGTCTGAAACATTAGGACACCTCATATCACCCGTCCTCAGAAGCCATGTCTCGCAACCATACTACAGTACAGCCCTTACTGTATCCCGGTGCACGCGACCCTTAAGCAAAGGGATCGAGGTCAAGGAGTGTACAGCCCTACTGTATCCCGGTGCACGCGACCCTTAAGCAAAGGGATCGAGGTCAAGCAGTAGAATGATCAACACTGCGCGTGAACTCTTTGCTCAAGAATTCGCGATCTGGGGAGCCATTCAATACGTGACCTAGTGATGCAAACTCCGAATTTGAAGGAATGGTGGCGTTGTATCCGGTTTGCGTACCGGTTATTCGCCCTGCTGATCAGCCCCTCTTAGCAGAATGGTTCAGTGTTCACCTACTAGTTAGTTCGAATATTCCTGGATATTCGTGAAACTCGAGCTGGTGACAATTCTCAATAAAATGAATCATTTATACAGTGCTCCTCGTCTTTTGCATTGTCTGACTTCAACCACCTGATGCAACCTCGGTTGAAACTAATTAAATCTTTTCTGCCACGGATCAGTCCACTGCTGAACATACTCTCCAAGTCTAGCTGAATGGGCAAGATAACCTATAGTTGCGATGAAGGCGATTCCAGGGGCACTGAATAGAGCCTTGTGATGGCGCAAAATTCCATGCTGTTAATTATATCGCAAATGATCTAATACAGAATATCCGTCAATCGTCAGGCCTCTACTGCACTGTGCTCATGCGGTGGATATACGCCTGATGTGAAGTATAGTCATTTATTAACTGTCCCGTCTTCTAACGTGCATTAGGGGTTCAGTCGTCACCGGATTGCTTACATGATTGCCAGACCTCCCTGTAACGTTGCCCTTAGTGTGGTTCTCAAGGTTGATATCCGCTGTTCTTCTTCCTGGTTTGAAGTTTGTTTATAGAATAGTTATCCGTACAGCCGCTGGACCAGATATCAGAAATGTTACTGCTCCT